GCTGCTGCCAGGGCGGGAGGGAGGCGTTGCCAGCGCTCGTGGTGGTCGTCGTATCTGGGGGGGGAAAGGGCTCGTTAGCACCGGTGCTAATTAGCGGGACCCCAGAAAGAGCAAAACGAACAAGTCTCCCGCCCCCAGGGGAAATGACCCAAACCCGGGGAAAACACCCCAAAACCCCTCTGCCCTGCCCTCTCCCCCAGGGCCACCCTTCCCTCCCCACCCCACCCCAGAGCCCCCAAAACCCTCAGGCCCCCCCTCACCACTCACTTTGCTGCCAGGGCAAGGGGGTGCTGCTGCTGCTGGGGGGCGGCGGCGGCTGCTGCTGCCAGGGAGGGAGGGGGCCGGAGGGGGGGGGGCGGCTGCCCACCGGGCGGGGGGGGCGGCGGGGGCAGCATACCCAGCGGCGGCGGCATCATACCTGGGGGGGCAGAAACGGGGGGCTCAGAGGGATTTTGGGGGTCAGAGGCGGGTGGGCAGGGGGCTCAGGGGTTTTGGGGGGTTCTCACCTTTTCCCTGGTGCAGGCGATAGACCCCAGAGCCCACCGGCGCATTTCCCAGGTACTGATCTTGAGGGAATGAGAGACCGTGGCCTTAGGGATGGGGGGGACCCCCCCCCACCCCAAAAACACTCTTCCCAAATTTCCCCTCCCCCTCTCCCCCCCCCCAAATGCTCCTTCCCCAAAAACCCCCCCAGGTTCGGATCCTGCACTGTGAAACCACTGCCTGGGGAAACGCCCTTTTCACCTCCAAAATCGTCCCTCCCCCAGTTTCCAGCCCTCACCCCCAAATCCCCCCTCACCCCCTAAAAAATCCTCCCCCCTCTCCAAAACCTTCCGAGGTTGAAGATGAACAAACCCCACATCTGAGGGGTACCCAAACTGCCTCCTTTTCACCCCCAAAATCCTCCCAGCTCCCCCTCAAAATCCCTACCCCCCCACTCCCTAAATCTCCCCCCAAATCCCCCAGCCCCTCCCAAATTCTCACACCCCTCTTCAAGAACTTTCCAGCTCCCCACCCTGGAGGAACCGCTGTGCCATTGGGGGGGTGCCAACCCCCCCTTTTCACCCCAAAAAACCCTTTTCCAGCCTCCCCCCCCTGCATTTGAGCACCCAGCCCCCCCCACTCCTCCCCCAAACCCCCCCAGCCAGGATTGTCCGTACCCATGTGGTGGGGGCCGGGGTGCCCCGGGGGGTGGGGGCCCCCCCCCATGGGGGGGTGGTGGGGCTGCATCCAGGGGGGAGGCCCGTTTGGGGTGTGCTGCAGTGGGTGCCCCCCATGGCCCCCCCCCATGCTGGCCATGGGGTGGGGGAAGCTGTGGGGGCCCCCTGGCCCCCCTGGTCCCCCATGCAGCCCATGGTAGGGGCGGTTCTCCGAGGGTGCTGAGCTCATCCAGGGGGGGCGGCTCTGTGGGAAAAGGGGGGGTCACACAAGGTCCGGGGGGGTCACAGGGGTCTGGAGGTCTGACAGTTCAGGGACTTTGGGGGGCTCGGAGGGGATGGAGCTCACCCGGGGGGGGGGGTCTGTGGGGGGGGGAGGGGGGGGGGCAGGGGGCGGGGGGGGGGCTGCCCCCCAGCCTGGCTGGCGGCGCGGTGGCTGCTGGACAAGGGGCTGTTGTTGTGGGCGGCGTTGGAGCTGACGGACACGGGGGCCTCGCCCAGCTCGGCCATGAGCGACAGGTACTCCTTGTCCATGCGCGCCTTGTCCTGCGCAGACTGCGGGTCCCCGGGCCTGCAACGGGGACAGGGAGACCGGGGGGCTGCACCCCAAACCCCTCTGGCTTTGGGGAGATCTCAGCGGCATCGGAGCATCCCAAGGGATTTTGAGGGGGATCTCGGGCAGGTAGGGAGGATCTCAAGCGGGTTTCAGGGGCTTGGCAGAATCCCAGGGGGTTTGAGGGTGGATCTCAGGGGTTCTGCGGAGGATTTGGGGAGATCTTGAGATATTTGGGGAACCTTGGGATTTGGGAAGTGTTTGGGGGGGGGTCTCAGGAGATTTAGGGAGCATTTGCAGAGAATTCAGGTGGTCTGGGGGGATTTCAGGCGAGTCAGAGAGGATCTCAAGGGCTTTAGGACGATCTCGGGGTGGGGGGTTGGTGGTTTTCTGGGGTCTCAGCAGGGTTTGGGGCATTTTAGGGAGATCTGAGGGTTTACTTTGGGGTCACCTGGCAAACTTGCAGTCAGAGGCGATGTGCCCAGCGCCGCCGCACTTGGTGCACACGGTGGTGTTGGTGATGCTGCGGGTCTCGGTGCTCTGCCACGGCCGCAGGATTCTGCAGGGCACAGGGAGGTTATGTGGGGGCTCGGGGGGTTATCTGGGGTGAACTGGGGGCGTGGGGCCCCCCTGACCTGTTGTCGTCCTCCCGCAGGGTCCCATTGAGCCGCGCCAGCTCCCTCAGCTGCATCTTGCGCAGGTCGTTCTGGTCCTCGGGGGTCTCGATGCCCTGCTTCAGGATGTTCCGGATCTGGGGGGCATAGGGAGTGTCAGGGGGATCTGCACTGCCAGGGGCCCCCCTCCAGCCCTCCCGGGACACCCACGGACCTGCTCCACAGCCTTCTTGACGTTCTCCATGGTGTTGGCAGTGACCAGGGCGTGCAGGGGCTCGTCCTCGCCCGGCAGCATCTGCCCGTCCTTGCGGCCCACCTTGCCCTCCTTCACCGAGCCCTTGCCCCGGATCATGATCTTGGCATTGCACTCCTTCTCGATGTTCTTCAGCGTGTTCCCCCTGGCAATCGGGCACCCAGAACAAGGGGGTCACATATGGACTCAGGGGGACACCCCACGGGTCCACCCACACCGGGACGCTGCAGCCCCTGCCCTGGATCACGACCTTGGTATTATACTCCATGTTCTTCAGCGTGCTCCCCCTGGGAACGGGGGATCCCAAAATGGGGGGGATGGAGCCCACAGGCCCATTGGGGCCCCCCCCACCGGGGGATGGTGCAGACCCAGCAGCACATGGCTCATTAGGAGCTCAAGCTCATTAAGAACACAGGGGATCATTATACACCCCGCAAGTTATTTAGGGTGAGGAACGGGGCACAACCCAGGAAGGGGGAGGGGAATGGGGTCACCCAGTTGGATTGGGGGGGGGCACCTCACAAACCCACAGGAGCACTCACATCAGGACCCCACCGCTGACAAGATGGGGACCCAGCAGCACCCCAGTGCCATTAGGAGCTCCCCAAATTTCTGGGGTGAAGCCCAGGGGACTCCTCTCCAGTCTCACAGTCCCCCTAACCCCCTGAGTTTCAGGGTGCCCACCTGGGCCCGATGAGGAGCCCCACGAAGTTGATCTCGGGGTACTCGTCCTGCGGGATCATCACCTTGTCGCTCACTCGTGTCGCCGGCGGCCTGGGGGAGTGAAAGGTGGGGGGTCAACCCCTCAGGGGAGCCCCAAAACAGACAGAATCAGCCCCAAATCGGGGTGGGGGGGACCCCCTCACTTGTAGTCAGCCGGGGGCTTGAAGTCGGGGTTCAGGGCCACCATCTCGGTGATGAGGTTGTGCCGCTCCTCCTCCAGCTTCTTGCGCGTGCGGAACTCGCGCGTGTTCAGGCGCTTCCCCTCGCTGTTGTAGATGGGCTCCGGGGAGGGGGACCTGCCCAGGGGGGTGGGGGGGTCACCAGAGTGCCCTGACACCCCCCCAGAGGGGGCTGTGCCCAGACCTCCCCCAAAGCCTCCCCAGCCCCTCGGGTGTGGGGCCCTTCCCGGCCCTCCCTGTTGTCAACGGGTCCTGGGGAGGGGGACCTGGGGGGTCGGGGGGGTGTCACCAGGGCCAGCACCCCTCCAGGGTGAGGGGGCTTATCCCTGACCCCCCAAACCACCACAACCCCCACACTGCCCCCCTCTGCCACAACCCGGGGCGGGGGCTGCCCCCTCCCACTCCCAGGAGGGGCTTAATTGGGAGGGGAACATTAATTAGTGCCCACTAAAGGCCAGAAGAGCCCCCCTCCCGTAAAATCAGCCGCTCTTGCCCCTCTTTGCCCGTTTCTCTCCAGTTTGGGCCCATTTTCCCTCGCTTGTTCGGGGTTTGGCCCCTTTCTCCCTGGCTTTCTCCATTTCTCCCTGCTTTTGCCCCGTTTCTGCTCCTTTTTTCCCTGGTTTTGTCATTTTTGCCCGTTTCTCCCCAGCTTTGCCCGTTTCCCCAGTTTCAAGGAGGAAAAGGTCCCTGTCTGGGGGGGCCGCGCGGCTTTGGCAGCCCTGGAGGGAAGAGTCAAGGTCGCTTGAGCTGAGCCGTGTCGGGGTGAGAAAATCAGATTATGATTAAAAATCAGAATTATCAGCGAGGAAGGAAAAAAAAGAGTCAGAATCGCTCGGGTTTGGTTAAATCGGCCCTTGGCTCCCCTCCCCCCAAAATAGCGAATTTTGGCAGCGGCTGCAAGAAGGGAAGAGATTAAGGCGGATCCTCCAAAAACAGCCGGCGCGGGCGACAGTCGAACCTGCCCCCGTTTTGGGGGGAAAAAGCGACTTTTCGGGGTTGGCAGCAGCCGGGTCCTCGGTGGAACTGCGACGTCACTGTCCCCGCTCGTGATTAATCGTTAATTCATTAATTAATCCCCCCCCCCAGCGCTAACGACGCCGCAGCGCGGAGCGGCCTCGGCCCGGGCGCTGCAGGAGCAAGGCTGGGTTAGCGCGGGGCCTGCGCCCCCAAACCTGGGACACCCCCAAAACCTGGAGGTGCGGGGTGACCCCCAAAACCTGGGGGGCCGGAGGGTGTCCCCCCCATGCCGGGACCCAGGAGGGCCCCCCCGGCCACCACAGGGCGAGGGACCCCCGTGAGGTGAGGGATCCCTGAGGACACAGGGACTGCCCCAGGACTGGGGACCCCTGTAGGGCGAGGGACCCCCACAGAGCTGGGGACCCCATGGGGTGGAGGGACCCCCATAAGGTGAGGGATCCCTGAGGACACAGAGACCCCCCCAGGGTTGGGGACCCCCTCAGAGTAGGGATCTCCTGAGGGGCGAGGGACCCCTGTGGGTTGGAGGGCCCCCCATCCTGGCCTTCCACAGAAAAATGGGACCAAAACAGGTGGAAAAGATGAAAGGGGGGTTGGGGCTGGAATTTGGCCCTTTTTGGGGGGCTGATGGCAGCTCTGCCCCCCCTCAAGCCGAATCAGAGAAAAAGAAGGGGAAGGGGGGGGGAAAAGGGGGTGAAAGGAGGAGCAGTGGGGCCGGGGGGAGCAGAGGAGCCGGGGCCTTGTTCAGCCACCAGAGCTCGTTAATCTGCCACCGTGGGTCGTTAATCCACAGCTAACAAGGGCCAGGCCGGGGTCAGTGGGGCACAGAGAGCACCCCAAACCCGGGGGAAGGGCCCCAAAGTGGGGGGGTCCCTGGATCAGTGTGGGGTACAGAGCAGCACCCCAAATCCGGGGGAAGGGCCCCAACACAGGGGGGGCAGCGGGGGGAGGTCCCATCCTGCCCTGGGGGTTTGGGGTGCCCAGGTCTCCCGTGCACAGTTTGCGGGTCACTGAGGGGGTGCCCAGGTCTCGGGGGGAGCCCGGGGGGGTCTCAGGGGTCCCGGGGGGGCCCGGGGGGGGGGGGGGGGGGAGGTCCCGACCTGTCCTCGGGGTTAGGGGGGATGCCCAGGTCTCCCGTGCGCAGTTTGCGGGTCAGGTCTTCGATCTGCAGTTGCACTGGAAGGAACCCGGTCCCGGAGAGGTGAGAGAGACACAGTTACAAAACACCCACATTTCGCCCCAAAACAACATTCCTCCCCCACATCCTGCCCCAGCCCAGCTCGGCCGGGCTAAAACTCCACTTTCTACCTACACCGGCTCCGTGGCACCAAAAACAGGCATTACTGCCCTAAAACCAAACGTTATGGTGAGAAAAAACCAGGGGTTATCACCTAAAATTGACATTATTAGCAGAAAAATAGGCCTTCTTATCAATAACAGCAGGTTATTACCCAAAAAGCACATTATTCCCCCAAAAAAGCACATCATTACCAAAAAAAAGCAGGTTATTGCCAAGAAAAAATCATATTACCAAAAAATTCACATTATTACCCAAAAAAGCACATTATTACCAAACCTCCTAGCATTATTATGGAAAAACTAGAAATTGTTATCATAAAACCAGACATTATTACCTAAAACAGAAGATTATCAGTCAAAAAAAGACATTATTTCCTAAAATACCATACTGTTACCTAAAAAGCGAGATTATTACTTAAAAAGGTAAACGTTATCACCTAAAACCACAGTTTTACCTAAATGAACCACAATTTTACCTAAAACAGGACATTGCTAAAAAATCAGACATTATTACCTAAAAGAACCACATTACCCAAAAGACAAAATTACTAAAAAAAGCAACTGTTATTGCCTAGAACAGGAAATTACATTAAACACAGACATTATTATCTAAAATACCTCATTGTATCAGAAGCACATGTTACCAAAAGAACACTGCCACCTTAAAACACACATGACACCTAAACAGCACGTTACATCAAATACCGAACACTGATAACCAAAATAAAGAGATTATTGCATTAAAATGACACATTATTGCCTAAAACTGCACATTGTTACCTAAAACTGCAGGTTTCAGCCTAATCCACTCCCCACCCCCCAGAGGTCACTTCTGTTGGTAACTGGGGAGGAATTTGGGGGGCAGCCTGGGGGGTCACATGGCGGTCACTGTCCCCCAGGGCCCAATTTGGGCCCAAACTCCTGAATTTTGGCCAAGGCTGGTGGCTGAGACACCAAAGTGACCCCTGGGGGACAGTGGGGGCTGTGCCCTCCCATTGCCCCCAGCCCCAATCAGGGGGTTCTGACCCCAAATCTGGGGGAGGGGGGGAGGTTATGACTCCAAACCCCCGGGGATTCCAATCCCAAATCCTCAGGGTTCTGACCCCAACTCCCCACGTTTTAACCCCAAATTTGGGGGTGTTATCGATGCAGGCACGGGAGTTCTAATGCCAAATCCTGGAGTTCTAACTCCAAATCTCGAGGGGGGGGTTCTGCCTCCAAACCCTGGCGGGTTCCTCCCGATTTGCCCCCAGACCGTTACCGATGTGGGGGTGCAGCCTAGGCAGAAGGGTCTGATCCCAAACCTCGGGTTTTGACCCCAATCTCGGGGGGGTTCTGACCCCAAATCCCGGGGACTGTGACCCCAAAAGCCCCCGTTTTTCCCCCAAACCGTTACCGATGTAGGCGCGTTCCTGCTCCCGCGTCAGCCCGGGCGGGATCACCGTGGGCATCCCCGGAATCACCGTCTTCTGGTCCAGTGAGTCCTGGTTCCAGCGGCTGCGCTTCCGCTTCCGCGGGAAATCTGGGGGGAAACCAAGGGATGGGGGCAAATCCGGCACTGTGGGGGGGACAAATCCCGACACCCGGGACACACGCACACAAATCCCGGCACCAGGAGGGCGCGGGCGGACACGGGGACGAGAGGAGGACAACGGGAGAACCTCCGTCCCCGGCTGGGGTTCAGGGGGGTCGCTCTGTCCCCGTGGGATGTTTTGGAGGGGTCGCTCCACCCTCGCGGTGTGTTTGGGGGTCCCGTTTCAAAGATTCCCCCCTCTCCCTCCTGCCCCCGCCGGGCTCCATCTTGGCCGCGCATGTCACGACACGTGTCGCGGCCGGCGGGGGGAGCGAGGGGGGGGCGGAAGCGACGGGACTCCCCCGAACGGGGAGGTTGTAGCCCAGAGACCCCCCTAAACGGAGAGATCAAAGCCCGGGAAGCCCGAAACCGGGAGGGTTTACAGACTACAGACCTCCAGAGGGGAGGAGTTAAAGCCCGGGGACCCCCAAACCAGGGGGGTTACAGCCCGGGGGACCCCCTCAGAGACGGAGTAAAGACCGGGAACCCGCACAGCAGTGGGGTTACAGTCCGGGGACGCCCCCACACCTCCCCCCGACTGCGCTTCTCCTC